AGGGAAAAAAAATGGAAGCACATACTTACATTAGTTACTTTGTGCCAGGCAATGTCAGCCTCTGTCTAACTTACTAAATTTAATCCAAATGGCAACCAGTGAAGCAGGTACTGGTGCTCTTATTTCAGAATGGGAAACTGAGGCTCCCAGAGGAGAGAGGACTTGCACGAATGACAGAGCGAGCACTGAGGGAAAAAGAGGCTCTGCTTGTAACAAGTGAAAGATATGTAAGATCTTAAAGAGAAAAAAAAAAAGACTGAACAAAAAATGAGAAAAGCTTCACTGGCACCAAGACATTGGCAGAGCTGCACTTGGCCCTGGAGATTGGTCCAAAAGTGATTCTGGCCAGATTACAAGACGGGGATGATGTCAGAGTAGCCCAACAGTCATTCTCTCCACTGAGCCAGGGGACCTGCAGTGCCTGCTCAGAGAGCCCCTGCTATCAGATGGAGGCACTGGGACAAGACAGGCCAAAAAATGAGCTGGGAGTGGAAGTACAGGCAACTCTGCTCCCATATAAGCCACTGTCAAGGAGAAAATCTCCAGCCAGGCAGTTCTGCTGACTCTGGGCTGGTCAGGCCCCACCTCAAGCTCTGTCACATTCTGGGCCCTGCTCTTTATAGGAGACTCCCAGAGAAGGGGATCCAGGATGAGGAGCCCCCTAGAAGCCACGCCTTGGAAGAAACTTGAAGAATGACGGGAGGTTGCTGTTCAACTCTGAAGGGCCTTCCTTCCTGGAGGATGCAGAGCAGATCTAAGGGGCCTGGGGACAGAGTGAAGCCCACAGGCAGGTGATTCAGAAGGGCAGATAATTCAATATGAAAACTTCCCAATGATGACCGAAGACAAAATGAACTACTATTAAAACAGCGAGAGCCCCCTCTGTAGAAGGGGCCGGATGGACCGTTTTCAGGAATGCTGATGAAGGGCACATGTCCCTCTCCTGCCCCAATATGGACACCTGTCCTTGGCTCTAGGGGCATCTCCGTGCTCCAGAGCATCACTGTTTCCCTGGCCTTGGGATGCTGTTGACACCTGTCCAACTTCTCTCAAGAGAGTGCTGGTAGTTTCGTTTTTACTTTTACATTGAAGAAAATTTCAGAGTAAAACTACCATTTATGTTTTATCACTTATGTAGCTGACTCATGTCTTTTTTACAGTTCTAGCATGTCTTTAGCAGCTACGAAAATTTTCTCTGGAGATTGAAAAAGGTATATGCCCTCACACACACTGTGCCAACAGAGTGGGGTCAGAAACCAGAGAGAAGGAAGTTTCACCCAGATGATCAATTGGTATCTTTCAATCTTGACAGTCTATGAAGTCCCAGCAGAGAGGAAGGATGCAGCCCCCCACTCCCTGGGCCTGGGTTCCACCTGGCATCCATGCAGGTCCACAGGAAGTTCCAAAGCTCTCTGTCCTGGGCACAGAGGCAATGCCCTCCTCCCTTAGAACACTTGCCTGACCAATATCTCTACAACCCCAAAGATACGACTTGGAGCAAGATGCCCACCTCGCCTGCCTGGAGACCCTGACAGATCCAAGCTCCAAGGGGCGTTTAGAGAAGGAGGGGTATGGATGGAATGCCATTCCCCCACTAGCCACCGCTAGACCCTACTCAGACTTCTGAACAGAGACAAGACCTCAGGGAAGAAGGCATTTAGGTGCCATGACTCCTCATTTCAAGCTTAGAAAGCAGGGCCTGAGGGGAAGAGATCATTTCTACCTCTCTTTGAAGCCAGAGGTGACTCAGGAGGTTCTGTCTTCACTGAATGGTTTCGGTCCTGATTCCTGGGAAACAATAAATGAGGGAGGGGCCTGCCCTTGATGGATCCTTGGAACAGGGAAGCTCACTTGTCACAGCATGGGGATAATACGGCTACCCACTGCCCCATCTGCGTGGCAGAGTCTGGTCCTCCCCCTTCACCCCAGAGAAAGGATTGTCTTAAGACCACCAGGGTGGTCCTGGGTGGGTGGGGAGGTAACAACAGTAACCTCAGGAGATGCTGCGAGGCTTTTCTGAGTGAACACTTCCAAGCCTGTGGCCGTCCCAGGCTCAGGTGCCAAGTTCTGCTGAGAGATGTCCCGGGTCCTCTGGGACTGCAGGGGAGGCCCAGGGCCAGAGGAAAGGGAAAGGGGGAGAGAGGGAGAGAGAAAAAGCAGGAGAGACACACACAGAGTCTGTAAATAGCCCAGCTTTGTAAATCCCACATCCTCAGGGTTTATAGATTAGGTCAGGAAGGAGCCATACCATGTGGCGGGATAGAAAGGAACTGCCCCTCCAAGCCATTCAAGGGAGGAAGGCCCCTGGTCAGCTGCTGGACCAGCCAATGCTGTGGCTTTGGGCCTGTCCTCATCACCTGCCCACTCTCATTCAAGAGGTTTTGGAGCCGTACCATTTGCACTCCAGTTCCGAGTCTTCTCTGAGTGTCTTTAGTTTAGATGGTTCAGTCCCGTATTTGGGTCTCAGCCCCGATTTAAAAAGTTAGATTTGATCAAAAACCTGGGCTTGGCCAAAGGGAACTCTTCTTTATAGTTTGGGGTCCCTATTTTATAGTTTATAGTTTGGAGTCCCATTTTGGTTTAAGTTCTTACCATTCCCCCTTGGCCCAGATAAGGCCCCAGAATTTATGAGGAATCTACTAGGAACTCTGGATGAAACACCCCTGCAGGATATCTCCCCACAAAGCCCATATTTGGATCAGGGCTTCTAGCCACCATTAGCAATAGCCCCATGACTAGCCAGCCATACTTTCCAGTTTATAAGGTACATTTATATCTATAATTTTGTTCAACCTTCCCAACAACCCTACAGAGTGGCAATTTTGGTCCCCTTTAGATGAGACTGACTAGCCAGTGAGGCTCAGAGAGGTAAGGTCATTTGCCCAATGATCCAGTCCAGTCCCTGGCTACAGTTCCATCCCATTTCCCAAATCTTCAAGGGCTTCTAAATGCCAAGGGGGCCTCTACGTCAGTTAAATGATCCATCACTCCAAGGTGAGCTCCTTTCTAGCAGTGGGCTACACTTCCTGGGGCAGAGGTAGGGAAACAGGAGGTGGAACAGACTCCACCTTCCATGACTCATCTTCTAGCAGTCCCAGCTGTCACCAGCAGGTGGGGTGCACCCCTAAGTCAGGCTGCTCAAAGGCACTCCTAAGCTCCAGAGCCCAGCTCCCCGGGGCTCATCCTGCCCTTCTCTGCGGGAGTCCGACCCTTTCAGAAGCCTCTGCCTCCCACCTCGCCCACTTCAGGACTCAACAGAGGCCACTTTGGTCAAGTCTCTCTCCTGGAAGGAGGAGCAGAGCATGTAACTGCATCACTAGACCAGCCCCCATGGCCAACTCCAGCGTCTTCAGGGTCTCGTTAGTGCCAAGGGTGACCCCAGAAGGCCTCAGTGGGGGGAAGAAATTTGCCTTTCTCCACGGCACCAGCCTTAAAGGTCTCCAAAGCATCCCCTAACTTTGTGAATCACCAGCCAAGGAGCTACAACAGCAGCCACACCAGACGAGGCCCTCTGTTTTCCAGCACGTCGAGGCCATGGGGAGTGCTGAGTCCATCAAATGCTCTGCTTATTAGATCATGGCTGCATCGGCAATGGTCAAAGCATCAGAAGACAGCACACGCACTGCTGACTCTATACTTGGTCTTCACATGATTTGGTTTTGCTCCCAGGCAGCTGTGATTTAATAGCAAATACAATGCCTGCGACACCATAACATCAGGTCCTGGCTCCTCTTCTATCAACTGTGACACTGAACAAGTCCTTCCCCTTCTGGGCCTCAGGGCTCGTCTGTAAAACAATGACCTGAACCAAGCAGGTTCTATCTTTAAAAGAGATTTGAAGTTAACCTTCCGTGTGAGAGTCCCAGGACTCTCAAAATACAATAAGCACCTCATTTAGGTACTCTGCTGGCCCCACTGTGCTTTATCTCGTTTGATTCTCATGACATTCCTAAGAAGTAGGTACTTTTATTACCTCTACCTAACAGAGGCTCAGAGAGGTTAAGTAACAAGCCCCAGATCATCCAGCCAGCAGGCAGGCAGCAGAGCTAGAATTCAAACCTAGGTGGCGTTAAGTCTAGACCCCAGTTGATTTGAGTTCAATAAACAGCAGTGCTAAAGAGAAAACATCTAAGTATAAACAAGGGTAAATATTGCCAAGATTTAGCAGTGCTAACAATAACAGCTTGGGATTATAAATACACGAATTCTCAAGATCCTATCTTTCCCCTTTTCAACTGAGAAACATCCCAGTCTGAAAGGTAGGTCGTATGGGATCCTTTCCTGAAGCAACAGGAGCAGCTCTGACTTTCCTAGAGGATCCATCCCCTCCTGGGCTCCGGGGAACCTTCAGGAGGGGATACTCCCCAATCTGTGCCTTCACAGTAGGCATGAAAGGGTCTGGTTACTGGATAGAAATACCCCATTCTTAAAGTTCAGTGTACATGAGAACCACCTGGGGCACTTGTTGCGAATGCTGATCCAGGGCTCTACCTCCTATATTTTGATTCAGGAGGTCTGAGGTGGGGCCCCAGAACCTAACATTTCTAACAAGCACCCCGCTTCCCCGTTACACTCTGACTGATGAAGGGGACTGCACCAAGCCACCATGAGTCTTTTGTTTTTCAGGTGGTCCCTGGGGCCCCAGATTCTAAGATGTAGTGACTGTGTTTCTCAGCTTAACTGGCTCCCCTACCCCCATCATCACCTTATGCAGCAATGGCGGGGGGCGGGCGGCACGTACTCAGGTGTGGAGGGTGAGAGTAAGTCAGTACATAGCAGCCTTCCCTACCTTCTTCACCTAAAGCCTCTATTGAGGGGCTTGGGGTGAGACTTACCTCATTGGCTTTCTCAGGGGTGCCTTTGGGGGAGGGGGAGGCGGGCGAGGACGGCAGCCTGCGCTCCCGCTCCCAGTCTCGATCCCGGTGGATCAGTTTGCTGTTGGGTTCCTTCAAGGTCCTCTTGAGCTCGTTGATGCTAGCCTGGTGCTTCAGTAAGACATCCTCTGGCTTGTCTAAGAACTAGGAGCGGACAGAAAGGACAGCCAGGCATTAGTGGAACAGCTCGGAGATGGGAGACAGGGTGTGGTGGTGAAGATGGCCATGGTCATGATCACGACATCAGCAAAGTGATTCCCATCCATGGCCCTGTGTCACCCTTACAGCGCCCCATGAGCCAAGCATGGCAGGGATGGTAGCCCCAAGAAGTGCACAAAGCACTTAAAGATGAAAAAGAAGAGATTTCTGGTCAAGTACCACCTTTTCTTCTCCACTGCCTGGCTCCTGGCCTCAGAACACCCAATTCAACCCAAATCCCACAGGACTGGGTGAGTTCCCTTTGGTGCTGTGATCCAGTCTTAGTCAGCCACAGAGATGACTTCCCTTTGCTCACAATGAAGGCATAGTGAGAACTCGCCAACCTTGTTCACGAGGCAGCTCTGAACTACTCCCTAGCCTCCCAGATCCAGGTCCCTACTTCTGATTGAGACCCAAACCACTCTGCTTATCAGGATGTCCTATTTAAGCCACTCACAGCCCAACATGTACAATTGCTCAGGCTCTTTGGGGACCTTCTAAGGCTAGGAATGTCCAGAAAAATAGGCCCTGCTCCCACATCAGGGACTAGGAAAAAATTGTGTTCAGAATTCTCTACTGGGAGCCACTGCCTTTTCCAACCACCCAGGATCTTCCAGATACCTGTGGGTACTGACTCCTCAATAGCAGACAGGGTAAGATACAGACAGAAAGAGAAACTAGGATGCTATAGGAGTGTTCAGGAGGATTAGGAGAATTAGAGGCTAGAAGGAAGAGAGGTAAGTCCCAAGGCCGGACGTAAGAACTGAGCCAGGTATAGCTGAAGTCATAGGTGTGCCCCGCTTTAAACTGCCAAGTTTGAGCTCTGGTCAATGTAGCATGACAGAGTAATCTGCCCCTAGGTCAAGTGAGGTCTGGCCTTTGCGCAGGAGATAGCAATGACTTGCCAAAGCTGCTTGTCTGCCTACTTCTGGGGGCAGGATGGGTAGGCTGGCAGCCCAAGGACACTGATCTGCAAGGCTGTTTGAGGATTTATGTCAACTCAATTCATGGCAAGAAGTGGACAATCTCAGCTGATTAACAAGTCAGATCAGGTGATTGTAAGAACTACCTGGAAGGTAAGCTTGACCTTGGATAAGCTGTACTCTTCCCCTGGGCTCATCGTTAGCATCCAAGGATCCACTCTGATTGACTCCTAGGTGACCTCGTGAAGGAAACCAGTGCTGCTGAGGCTTCCACTTTCGCTCCAAACATGTCTGTACCTCCAGCATCCCCTCCCAAGCTGAGCTGCCTCAGGATGAAACACCCCTTGTCTGAGAAATCAAACCTAACATAGTTTGCACGGAAGGTGGGTTTGGGCTGCAATGGATCCAAGACATGGCTTGTGACCTATCCTGCACCTGCCATTCTGGCTCTGTGGGTGTGTAGTGTTTCTGAGGGTTAGAAGAAGTGGTGGAGCCCTGAGGGCCTTAAAGGGCCTCGGGGAAACCTAGTCCAAATGCCTTGCTGTGCTCATGGGAGACTGGGGCCTCGGGGGACTTTCCCCAAACCCTTGAAGAGTCAGTGGCAGAACTAGGGCTAAAACCCACACACCAGGACTCCAAGGCCAGGCCCTTCTTATACCTCAGGCTCTGGCCTTTTCCCTCAGGCCCAAGAACAAACCCACTTCTGTCACAATGAAGGTTTAAATGAAGAGTTGGAGACTGTGTGAAAGGGAAGGAGATGTGGTTAACACAGGAGGGATAAGGTGGAGGAAGCAAAAATGGGAAGAGGAAGAGGAAAGGCAGGAGGAGGAGGAGAGAGGAGGCTTTCCTGATAGAGCTGGAGAAGCAGCAGGCTCCACCAGAGGGAGGTGCAATGGAGTCTGAGAAGATGCAGATGTGCTCCCAGGCTCCTCCCTCTCATTCCACCACCCCTTCCCCCCATCTGGTTACCAATAGATATGAAAAGAAGCTTGGGGTGAGGACAGAGGGGACACAGGGGAGGTGGAGGAATGACAAAACAGTGGTATGGGGAGGAGATGAGTCAAAGAAAGGGTTGGGGGCCGGGAGGCAGGGGTAGAAGAGATGAGCTCAATGAAAGTACAGAATGGCCTACAAGAGTTGGGGTACCCAAGTGGGATGATATGCAGGGACTGAGGAGCAAGCGTCAGTGGTCTGGACAGGCAGAGTGTGGAGCTGGGTAGAGAACGGGAGCGGGAAGGAGGAAGGGGGAAGGAGGGAGGGGAAAACACTGCTGGAGAGGGAGTCTGAGAAGGGAGCTGGAGAGATGGGCTTAACAAGCGGGGGTGCTGAGGGTGGTCGGGTGGGAGACAGGGGGCTGGCAAGAGGAGGGGGATGGCAGAGGCAGGAGGATGGCCACGGGGAAAAGGTGAAGCTAAAGGTGAGATGGTACCAGGATATGAGCCTGGGATGGACTGTGGGATGGTGACAAATGAGCTGGGCATTTGAATGGCTGGGTAGGTAGGGACATGTGCCATGCAGTACCTCCTGTTTGTGTCTTGGCGTGGTTTCTTGCTCCGGCTAGCGGACGTGAGAGAAGGGGAAGGAACCAGCAGGGTAATTAGAGCCAATGGATTAGAGACACCGCAACCAGCCCGGTCCAGCAGGTAACCCAGAGCTCTCCCATCCAAGCAGCAGAGCCCAGGGAAGCTGGCTGGGCCACCCGTGGGGCAATGAGTAGTCAGAAACTGTGTGGCCTCAAGCAGGGAGCTGGCCCAGGTAGGCAAAGAAGAAGGCCGGAGGACTGGAGGCAAAGTGAGCAGGCACACTCAGCAGGTGGGACATGAGGGCTTCTGGGTATTCCTTTTCCTTGTGGTCAGCATGTGTGTTCAGGGACCTGTGCTCCCAAGTGGGACTGCATGATGGAAACACACTATACCTGCGTGTGCACAGGCCCATGTGCGTGTGTGTTTGTTTGCACGTCTGGGCGCATAACTCTACGGGTGAGGAGTATACATCTGTGAGTGAATGCATGTGAGTCTGAGGCCACGCGTGTCTGCACGAGTGTGTGCATGGGTATGTGGGAATGGGCCGGACAGCAGAAGGGGACACACTTGTGAGAGTCTGCAGTGACACCCCATCATGCTCTGAGCAGGAAGGGGCCCTGCAGATCCAACTTACAGTCCAAGGGGAAAATGAGGAGTGGGCAAGAGGAGGCCAGAGACTCCTAGGGGACAGAGTACTCCTCTGGGAAAGCAAGACAAAAGGAGGGGAGGGTGTAGGGTGGGCAGCGTGACCCCACCCCACTGCAGGCAAGGCCCTGAGCATGGTGCATCACCATGGGTGCTTGGCTACAGCTAGGGGCACCTGAAGGCCAAGGCTGGGGCTAGCCACCTGATCCCCAGGTATGAGAAAGCCAGGTTCCTACCTTTAGCTCCTTGATCTTAGTGGGGGTCCTGACCTCTCCTTCCTCGGCCTCCGATCGCCGTCCCCCAGACTCGCCATCCTCTTCCTGCTTGTCACCATCAGCTCCTGCATCATGGTTCTCACTGACAGAGGCTGGGCGGGAGAACTCTGCTAAAATAGGCAGAAACAGCTGGTGGCCATGTGAGACATCCCCCAGGTGCGTGGACAGGGGGCCAGCCCTGACACTTGCTCAACCATGCTTGGAGTGGCGCAGACACTTCCGCACCCCAAACATATTGGGGATAAGAAGCCAGTGCCCAGAGTTATGAAGCGCCCTTCCCTAGGTCATGCAGACTGCCTCCCTGCCCCAGACCTCCTGATTTCTACAGACAGGTTCAAATCTCAAATCCATCTCTTCTTGGCTGTGTGACCTTGTGTAAGTTATATAACCTCTCTGGGCCTCAGTTTTCTCACCTATAAACAGTGCCTACTTCAGACAGCTGAGGGGAGGAACAAATAAGATAAGGTATGTAAGTATTTAGAAAAGCAGCTGGCACAGAGTGAAACAACTCAATCAATGTTGGCCCACAAATGTTGATTTTTTTTTTTTATGTTGGCATTGTGGCAGAATACTGACTTGACCATTATTTAGCAATACACAGATATTGTGAGGTTAGCTTTTACTGATGAAAGCTAAAGTCCTGATGTTTGCAAATGATTTAGTTTCTTTATAATTAGGGAAAATTCAAGGGGACTCCTACAATAACATGTTTCTCACTCATTGGCATCCCAGAGTACTTTTCTGAATAGGAAATAAAAATGTGGAATTACAGACTTTACACCAAGCACTGGGCATAACTCATACTATGCCCATGGATTGTGTCTTGGTGGAAAAAAAAAAATGGCTGGAAAACACTGAATTAAAATGACTAGAGCACAGATTATCCTTGGGATTGGCCTAGATGAAAAAGGAGCAAATAATCATCCTTTTTACTCATATATATTCACTCTGCAAAGTGCTCATTCATGAACATTATTTCATTTGAGTCACACAATGCTCTGTGTTGATGGCTAGAATGGGAATTATTATCCTCATTTTATAAGGATAAATTGAAACTCTGAGACCTTTCAGTGAATCACGACAAGGACCCAGGCCTACTGGCTTAGAGTCCAGGCTTCCAGTCCCCTTTTGATGAGCCTCACCAACTCTGGGCCAATCTTTGCTGCCCTGCACAATCTGGGCTTCATTTATCCCCTGGCATAGTAATGAAAGCTGCAGGGAAGAACAGAGGGACAGTACATACCCTCCTTTCCCTTAGCACTCTGCTCTGTGCCCACTAAAGGAGAATATAGAGCTTCCTCAGCCCCAAATGGATCCCAGCAAAACAGCATGTCTTTTGAACATGGCCAGGGAATCCTGGAACAGGTCTCACCTTTATACTTCAGAAAAATACCAAACCAGACTCTTCACCACCACCTGGGAAACTCCTAGGTATCCTTCAAAACCCTATCCAGTTGCCACCCTCTTTGCAAAGACCTGTCTGTCCCTCCTAGACGGAATTAATCTCCCTTGCCTCAAGGCTACTTTCTATTTTTTACATGCTTCGCTCATTGCTTGAATCATATTGAATGCTTACAAACGTACTATGCTATGAGCTCCTCAAAGGAAAGAGCTAAATTTATTAGAACATTCGGAAAATATTTGTTAAGCAGAACTAAGTTGCCTAGAGGCCTGCCCCAATGGGAGTATCTACTGTTACCCCACCCAAGTCCCCACCTTCTACCTTTAAGCCATCCTCTATAAGCTTAAAAACAATAATAAATTATTGCTACAATAAACAATAATTTATTATTAGGTATGATTTATTAAGGTCCTACTATGTGCTATGAATTGTTTTGGGTGTCATAGAGGCATTATCACATTTAGTTATCCCCATAACATAGTGAAGTTAGGGATTCTTAATTCTGTAGAAGAGGAAATAGGTACAGGGGAGTTAAGTTGTTTGAGGCCTCCTATGCTTTCATTCTTTTATTTGTGGACTACGTCCTGTGTCCACGGGCGGCTGGTGAGTGTCAAGCCTGAGATATGAAATCAGATCTGCTGAATTCTGAATCTCCTAGTGCTCCATGTGGCTTCTGAACCTCTCCTACAAATTCCGGGGTACAGGGCTCTGGGGAGAGTCCTGGGCCCTGAGAGGCACCAATTTAGTTAGTAGGTCTGGGCCAGGGCCTGGGAACCTTCGTGTTTAACAACTCACGGGTGATTCTGTTGCAGGTGGTCCACGGACCTCATTTATGAGAAGCCTTGGTCTGCTTGATAAAGGACAATGTAGGGCCAATTCTCATTGATGTTAAGTGCACTTGTCAGCCTCAAAAGAATGGGGGCAGGGGAAAGTGCCATGTGGTTAGATGGCGATCAGTTCAATGGAACCAAAAGAATGACTGGGAACAACACCTCCACTTCTGGTCAGGTAAGGCATCACCAGTCCCACATTAAAGTCACAATACATCATTCTCCTGGTATGACAAACTGTGAATTACTAAGCGTCTCAGGCAGGGGGCCCAGAAAACCATATGCTTGAACCAGGGACCCCAAAAAGCCATTACTCGGGAAGTCTCGGGAAGTCCAGAGCGTGTCACAGTATCACAGCAGGAGTAATGCCGTAGGTTGGAGCTAACACGCTGAGAGCTGCCCAAGTGCAGCAGTGCCCTTGGGCCACCATGCCTGGTGCAAATCAACCTGTGATGTGTCTACCACCTGCACAGCTCATTCTGCAGAGCCTGGCATGTCCCCCCCTTCCCCCCAGTTTGGGGCATACCTCCATCAAGGCTGCGGGACATGGTGTACCGTTTGCTGGAGGAACGCTCAAAGAAGGGTGCAGGCCGGTCGATGAGGGCACTGGCCTGGCGAGTCTGTGCCTGGGTCCTCCCACTATACCGGAACTTGGAGCCCATCACCAGGAAGCCCTTGGGTGGGGGTTCTGGGGATACCAGCCTGCAGTGGAGGGATGAAAGTGAGGAGGGGGGATCAGAGCTGCATTGCCAGGTCGAAGGCTGGACCACTGTCGGCCTTTCATTCCACTGTCCCACCAGCTATGACAACTCTAAGTGGTCCAGGAGGAGAGAGGCTTGGGAAAGAAGAGGAGGGCCTTTCCTAGGGTCCCTACAAGTTCCTCCTCCTGCTCTCCCTGGTCACAAAACACAGACATCACCCACACATACACTCACGGCTTTTGTCTCATCCCCAGTTACCGCAGCCCAGGGTCAGGCTCACCGGAAGAACGTGTGGTGCTCGATGCAGACCTTCCACAGTCTCTTGGCCGACCGGTGGTTTGGGAGCTTAAAGCCAATCGTGCTCTCAAACTGCTCATACTACAACACCAAGTAGGGCAGGTTAGAAGCAAGACCTGGGCGCACTCTACCACCCATCCATCCTTTCTTCCTTCCTGAATCTCTTCTCTGGCATATGTGACTCTGGCCTAGTCATTCGTTTATTCATTCATTTACTCAGTAAGGTGGATTAAGCTCTTCATCTGTGACAGGTCTGGTACTAAGCAACAGAGACACCATGGTGACCAAGACAGAGGATTCTAGGGAGAGGGGGTGCTCTGATAATAAGTAAACAAGGTCATTTCAGATACCTGAAAAGGTCATGAAGGGAATGAATTGAGATGTGTGATGTGACTGAGAATACCTGTGTAAGCGAGGGGGTCGGCTACTACTTTAGAAAGGGTGATTGGGGAATGCCCTCTAAATAGGTGATTTTTGAGCAGAGATCTGAAGGATGCGGAAGGAACCAGCTATCTGAGAAGGTAGGGAAGAGAATTTCAGGTATAGGGAAGATCAAAAGTGAAGGGCCCAGGGCGAGAAAGAGCTTGCTTATTCAAGGATTTCAGAGAAGGCCAAAGGGGTATGGAGCAGTTGGGCAGAGATATGTGAGAGAGGCAGGTGGCCAGAAGGAGTTGGACTTTAGCCCCAAGGCTAAAGAGAGCACTTAAAAGATTTAAGCAAGGAGTAGGAGGGGCGGGGGTGGTGTATATCTGACATGATCTGATGAAAAGGACTTTTAAGCTCTTAAGCAGCTATGAGAAATACGGCCTGGAGTGACAATGGAGGCAGAGAGACCAGCGTGAAGAATATTGTAGAGATGTAGATGAGAGCTGATAGCTGGTGTAGTGGAAAGAGAAGAAGCAGATGGGTTCACATTTATTCTAGAGGTAGAACCAAATGGACCTTTTGGTGGGTGAGATGTGGAGGCTGGACATATACATGTTTGCACGGGTATGTCTATGTGTATCTTAGTTTGTGTACATACTTGTGTACTACATGTAAGCAAATGTAAGGATATGGACATGTATTCATCAATCTGTGAAACCTAAATGCATGTGGTTATCTTTACATGTGTGCTCGTGTGTGTGTGTGTGTGTGTGTGTGTGTGTGTGTGTGTGTGTGCAGGCAGGCACATACCTAAGATGTCAAGTCTATGGAGAGAGCCCCAGCAGAATAGGGATGTTCCCCTTCCCAGCACCCCAGCATCCCTGTCCCTATATCCCAGGCCCAGCTGCCAGGGTCCTTTCCATTCTAGTCAATTCCAGTGAGGAGGAGGGGTTCCTAAGGCACTCACCTCCCCAGGCCGGATCTTGATGTAGAAGTTACTCCTCTTGTAGGAGATCTTGAGAATCTTGGGCCAAGCAAAGCGGTTGATTCTCAGCCGGTCCCGGTAGATAAGCAGACCATTGGCACAGACTCCTAACATAATGTCAATGCCCTCAGAGTCCTGCATGAGAAGGGACCATGGAACAGAAGGCTTGGATGCCGCACTTGGGAGCAGCCTGCCACCCACCCCAAATCCCTCCCTGACCTCTGCTTATAAATGAGCCTTCGGGAGCAGGGGGACTTAGAGCCTCCATGCTGGAGTTCCACTGACCAATCCCTCACATAGTCATTCAGTCATTCACCTTTTCATTTTGTCATTTATTCACCCATCCACTTGTTCTATCATCCTCTCTGTTAATCACTCAAGAACTTATTCACTCAGCAAACATTTAATTTAATCATACATATTTGGTGTTAGATCATGTGCCACATGCTCAGGGATAGAGAAATAAATTAAGGCCTTGTCTTTCTCTCATGATGCTCCCAATCTAGTAGCGGCACAAACAGGTTCATAAATATAATACAAAGAGAAAAGGATAAAGATTATAGGAAAATAAAGGGTTATGGAACTTCAAAGAATGAGAAATGAGAATAAAAAGGCTTCAGGTTGTCAGGAACAGAGGGTCTGGCATACTGAGCCCTCAAGAAAGACCTGGCAGATAGATCATCGGGGGCACCCTCAGAGGCTAGAGGGACCTCTGGACCCAGTGGTACCTTGGCATGGTGCAGGTCTACTCCGTACATGGAAAGCTTCTTGGCATTCTCCAGGAAGTGAATTTCTGCTTCTCCTGGGGTCATTCCCCTACGGGAAAGAAAGTGATCATAGGTGTCTGTGGGAAAGGCCCAGGCCTGAGTCTTGCTACCTGAAGGTGGCCACAATCAGAACCTGTGATTCTAGGAAAGCAAATGTTCTGGAGTGGGCATATGGCCGGGCCTCACCCAGTGCCTGCTCTCTGCTCTCAGCGCAGGATGGCGCACTCCCATACCCCACATCAGTCCACCAAACCCCCGTCTCCTGCCAAAGCTCAAGTCCAATCTTGTTTCTTCCAGGAAGCACTCAAGGGCTGAACTGGGAGTCAGGATTTTTTCCTCATTCTGCCAGTGAGTTAATTGTGAGCTATAAATTCTTCTCTTCCATGACAGCGAAGCCACTGTGGATGACTTTGTTCATTATAATCACCTAGGGGCCTCTAAATTACTACCCACATAAGATATTTATCTCAAATTATTATATCAGAAGCCATTTAATCTCCCCTGAGGAACAGGTGTACATTCTTCCTTCTGAAAATAAGAGTTATGTAATCCAAGTTCTTTCTTTGCTTTGGCTGTCAAGAAACCACACATTGTACACTTAGTTGCAGCTAACATTTATTGAGTCCTATGTGTGGTTACCATTCCAAGCACTTTACATGTCTGAACTCACTGAATCCTCAAAACAATTCTATAAAGTAAGTATCATTATTCCCATTTTACAGATAAGAAGCTATGTCACAGAGAGGTTGAATAACTTGCCTAAGAACGCACAGTTATTAAGTAGCAAAGTCAGGATTCGAATTCAGACAATGTGGCTCCAGAGTTTGTATTCCCAACCGCTACACTTATATCTGTCTCAGATCCTCTGGGCCTCAGTTTGTTCTGCTCTGTCCACCTCAGTGAGCTATCATGTGGGACATCTGGACACTAGCTGTCAATGTGCTCTAAGTCAAAAGAGCTGTTAAAGCTAAAGGGATGGCCATTAGCATTTCTCCAGCCCACATGGATCTGAACTGCTTTCTTTGAATCATAGGCTGCCTCCAAGATATTACAGATTCAGTTCCAGGCCACTGCAATGAAGCGAATATCACGATAAAGCAAGTCACACACATTTTTTGTTTTTCCGGTGCATATAAAAGTTATGGTTACACTATATTGTAGTCTACTAAGTGTGAAATAGCAAAATGTATGTAACTTAATTAAAAATACTGCATGGCTACAAAAATACTAACCATCATCTGACCTTCAGCAAGTCATAATCTTGCTGGTGGAGAGTCTAACCTTCAGTTTGTAAAAAAAAATGCAGTATCTGTGAAGTGCAATAAAACGAGGTATGCCTGTATTTTGACTCACGCGAATCCCTAACACATCTTATTACCTACAAAAGGGATGACAAAGGGATGGCAAGCAGGCCATCACTCCCTAGTCCTGAGCTAGGAAGCCTGACACTGCTATCTAACTGTACGGCTTGAATATCCTACTCAACACAATACAACAAAAGCCACTGCTAACCAATAAGAGTTGGCGTGCAAGTCTCAGGGAGACACATTTGCCACATTTGCCGCCCTGACCTAGCATCCATCACACCCCAGCAGACTTGCTTCCCCACATATACAACCCCTCCATCTCTGGCCCTGGGTCTCCTCTCCTGATGCAGCCCCCAGGACACAACTATCCTCATTCCTTCTATCCTCATTAGCAATGAGATAACATCACCATACCCCCTCCCATATGCACAGCACTTTATAGTTTATAATGCACTTCAACATCGTGGACCACATTGGGTTCCCATAACACACTTGGACTTGGAGCCCAAAGCACTTCTAGCTCGAAAGAACCCTAGAGACCATTTAGTTCCAGGTTTTCCCCCCAGGGGGTGGTGGGCTTTTGGAATTGGGGCAGAGGCATTTTGGTTGTTAGTGACTAGGGGGTGTTATGGGCCCAGGGATGCCAAACATCTTGCACAATGAATCCCTTGCCCTAAATACCAGTAGCTGAGAAACACTGATAATCGAAGTCCGTACATATACCAATGAAAAACAGAGCTGACAGGTTAAATAGCCAATCCATAACTGCACATCTAGTTAATTATCTCCTAATACCTGGAACAAGGTGCTTTCCTCTGCATGATCAGCTATTCAACCCCTGAAGTCACAGAGAGCAACAATAATAGCCAACACAAAGCGTGTCCTTAATATGTGCCATTTAATCCTCCCCAAAACCCTCTGAAAGGGGTTTTATTAGTGCCCACATTGAACAGATGAGGAAACCAAAGGAGAAGGAAGTGCAACGACCTGCCCAAGATCTCCTGGTTAAACAACGACATAGCTAGAAGGTGAACCCAGGCAGTCCAGCTTTAGAACTTTACGCTCTTGAACTTTATGCCACAATCAAGACGTCAGGACGCCTACCCAGGGACACATAATAATTATTATTATTTCCACTAGGCAGATAAAGAGACTGATTCTCAGAAGCCAGGGATGGGGAATTCTCACACTCATATAGGAGCTTAGAACCTGAGGTCCCAAGAGGTCATTTAAGGTCACACAGCTAATTACTATCACTCCCATCTGATGAGATGATCTGCCCTCAGATTTGCACCTCAAATTAGCAGCAGAGCAAGGTGGGGTACTTACAGCACAGCATCTTGGGGGCCTAGTGGGGAAGGTCCCAGGATCCGGGGAAGGCCGTGGGCGGAGACCCTCTCACCTGTACGTCTTGTGCAGCTCCATGATCCTCTCCTCTAGCTCTCGGGTCTGGTTAGGGGCGAAGCGGAGCTCGCTGACATAGTTGCCCACGTGCTCCTCAGCATCATAGTCGCCCAGCTCGGCCTGCACAGCGTAGGAGCCCAGCAGGGCATGCGTGACAAAGGAGCAAGGCAGCCGGCCTGTGATGATGTCCGCCCGCAGCTGCAGGCACAGGTAGTATCTGGAGATAGGGGAGAGTGGGCATGGGCACAGGGACTCCCCCCACCAGGTACCCCCAGGCACAACTGCCCACCGATCCATCAGAATGAAGCTGATCGACCCTCAGCTCAATAGAAAAGGCACAATTCTAGACACTGGCATTTCACATATTAATAATTTGGGCGTGTCTGATGAGATGGTTTTGCATCATCTCATATGACTTTAAGCATTTTTGCTCATGGCTAAGTTTGAGAGATTTTTCCTACTGTGGGAGCATTTTCAATTTCTAATTCATTTTCAAGCTAAATAGGACGACTTTGGCTGTTTCTTTCCACATGTCATATATTTTTGTTTATACAATGAATGTATTCTTATTGTAGAAAAAAAATGTAAACTTTAGAGGTAACTCTAAATTTCCTCTTGACGTCTATCCTCAGGCCCACTCTCCTCCCCAGGAGGTCATCCCTGTTATCTGTGGCGTTCTAGACCTCTTTCCTCCATGGACATATAGCAATGCATGTGGTTTTGATTCGTGGGTGTTTCTGATATGTACATGGTATCAAATCCTGCATCCGATTCTACAGCCTGCTCTTTCGCACCCAACTATGCGCCTTGGAGCTCTTCCCAGGTTAGCGCATGAGACCTGACCTCATTCATTTTAACCTCTGTACAGCACGTCCACAGCCCGGACGGACGCGTCTGCCAGTGTTTTCTCAACACTTTTTATTTTGCCTCTAGGTCTCAGTGAATTGTCTAAAAATAAATTGGTTTAAAAAAAAAAAACATTTCCAACCACTAGGCTTTTATGCACACTTGGATGATTTTACAATTTTTAGAACCACTTAAAACCATTTTTATTGCGTTTTCGGTTATAGTGTATTAAAAAATTTTTTTCAGTCCATTCTCGACCAGTGATGCCTCCTTGTCCATTTTGCTGTGTTTCACTATTTTTCTTTCAATTGCCTGTTTCTTTTTCTTTTAAGTGGCTTTTACTTAATATAATATTTACTGCTTGCGATATTATTTTGCAGTCTGAAGGGAAGCTCTGGCAAAAAGTACATGCAGCCTCAGTGTGTGCTCGGGGTTAAGGCACAGGCAACTCGAACATCACAGGCACCAAGGGTGGACATATGGGCATTTTGTCCAAGTCTAAAAATTTGGAAATCACTGCCAAACACTCCAACTAATATTTCATTTCAATCTATTTGTCATTTTGACCAGTTTATTTGGGCCTGAATATTTTTGACTACATCACCCCATCCCCTGGGGCCATCCATGCTGGGTAAGGCTAACTTCCCTCCTGGGGTCCCTGGAAGCCTGAGGCCCAGGGACTGGAACAAACAGGAGAGGCACCAGTGAGCAAGACCAGAGGGATGGGGGCTGAGCTAGTCTGAAGCTCTCGGCCCTCTTGGAAATGGAGCTCCCATCCTGCTGCTGAATCTTGGCTCCAAGCTGACCTCCGGGCTAATGAGGCCAAGGCCTTTGCCCAATCTATTCCAGAGACAACTGTCTTATCTCCAAAGGCCAAGGCTTTTGCCCAATCTATTCCAGAGACAACTGTCTTATCTCCGAAGTTGGCATCTTGACCTTGGACCCTTGCCTGGCAAACAGGAAGCTGAATTAAGGAGGGACCCAATGGGAGAGAGGGGCTGGCTCAGCACCTATAGGAATAACCCCAAGCCCACTTATTGTTGGTGGGTATGAAGAGCCTAGCACTTGAATGATACAGTCCCAGGATATCATGAAGTGAGACTACCTCTTTGGAAGGGATTTGGATAAAGAAAAAGGCCTCTCCCTATTCTGGTTTACAGAGGCAAGATGAGCCCCATCGAAGCTCTCATCCTGAAGGGTGCTTTGCACTTCCTTCCGGTCTTCAAGGCACATTGTTCACTGGCCTTGAGGCACATGTAATCCATGTGCACCCTAGCAGCCGGGCTTGCCCCCATGGAAGGGGTCACATGCCTCATCTGACCCCCACATACCTGATGCACGCACAGAACAGCACACAGGACCAAATTCCCACATGCAGAGGCATCTGCATTCAACTCTCACCTTAACCCCAAAGTCGAAAACTGGTGGTCGACCCAGCATATCAGATCTTCAGATGTATTTGGCTGGTCCACCCAGAGACGACCCATACCACATTTTTTTTAAAAGTCTGAATTAATTGCTAACATTTAAAAATTGTGGTTTTTTACTTTCAAAACTCTAGCTCCACTTCAACGATCAGGCCCAATTCCCATGTGGCCGTGATTGCCCACGCTGAACTGTTTTAGATGGCATCTGTCCTTTCGAATTCACATTGGCCCCCACTGATCCCTGCAACACCTCTCCTCTGAAGTCAAGAACCAGCCGCCATCGACCACTGTGTTTGCGTCACTTTCTCTCGCACTGAGCCAGCCTCCTTTGTTTATGCCATCTGCCTGGCCTCCGTAGGCACCTAAGTTTGCAACTTCCATCACATACCACTCCACGTCTCCCACGGCCAGCACACCTGCCCCTTCCCTCCACAGCCCTCACCTTGTGATATCTTCTGTCAGCTGAGCAGGATCAGGGGGGTAGAATTTGACTGTGAAGGCAAAATTCCAGGGGCTGCCTAAGAGAAGAAGGTAGGGGAAAGATCAGAAAGGCCCCATCACCCCAGTGGGTGATGAACCATACTATTAGCAATTTTCAAAGTCTTCTCATATCTATAATTTCAAGACAATCCAATCAGGGAGTATGGAATATTATTCCCACTTGATAGCTGAGAAAACTGAGGCCCAGGTTAAGAAATTTGTGAACAAGATAGAAAAGAAACCAATGGTGCACGCCAGACACACTGTTAATTACTTTACAAACATGGCTTCATTGCAAAAACAACCATATGAGTAAACCCTATGATTATCCCCATTTTGCAAATGAGGACACTGAGGCCCAGACAGTCAAGTGGCCAACCCGAGATCACCTAGCTAGGAAGTGGCGATGCTGCCGTTCAGACTCAGGCCACCTGGCTCCAGAACCCATGTTCGCTCCTCTACACCAAAGTTTATGCCATAAGATGTTAATGAGAAGACAAGAAATCTAGAAAGTATCACATTAAACAGGTTTCGGACTTCTCACAGCCCTGACTCTGCCATTGTAAATTGTACCTCTTTAAAAGGGACATGTGATCAAGAGTTTCTAAAACTTATTTGACCTGCTGTATCCATTTTTTATAAGGCAGATTAATGTTCCCTGAAACACTTTGAAAAACTCTGCTCTATACCATTTTAACTCCATCTCAGATGACAGAATTGGATTATAAATAAGACCTAAAAGGCAAATATGATGGATTAAAAGCAACGAAGAACATTTCATAGGGATGTTAACCTCCATATTTAGATATGAAAAATTAATGGTACATATATAGAAGGTAGAGAGAAATAAAGCCTGGGGTTTTAGCTAGAAACAAGCTCTGCAAGGCAAGAGAAGGGATGATCACTTAAGAAAGGGAGACACTGTTGGTGGTGGGGAGATGGGGAAAGAGACAGAGAGGAGGTGCTGATGAAAGGCTACAATCCAGAACGATGGTGAGACCACCACCGGGATATTTCTAGCTTCATGCTCTAAAAAGGCCCCTGACAAAGTGAGAAAGCAAGGCCCATCCAGGGCTAAGCAATGGTCATGAAGGGCGGGAGGCCATGCTGTCACTACCATCCTTGTCCCTGTGGTCATCATGATCTTCACCATATAGGTGTCATGTCTCCAACACTTACTAAGTGCTGGTCCCTTGGTTTGCTAAGAACGTTGCATGCACGTAGAGGAATTTAACCTTCGTAATGATTCTGAGGTTGACTTTCCTTTATACAGATGATGATTTTGAGAGGTTAAGCCATCTCCCAGGGTCGCTCAGCTAGTCAGCAGTAGAAAACAGGGGTCTAACCTCTGGTCAACTGACATCAGAACCCAGGCTCCTGACCACGGCTGACTCCTTGGAAAAAGCAGCCTCAAGGGGAAACAGTCCCTGTCTCAGAAATAACAACGACAATAATAAATAACAGCAACAACTAATACATACTGGATACTACTTGTGAAGGTACTGTTTTAGGTGTTGTATATATAATAACTCATTTAATCCTTACAACAACCCTAACAGTAAGTACTGTCATTACTCCCACTTTACAGATGAGACTGTAGCACAGGACAGTTAAATTACATGAGAAGTAATAATGGAGTCAGGAATCAAATCCAGACAGGCTGGCTTCACTGTCTCTCCTTTTAACCAACACGCCATACTGCTTAAGGGAAGCAACGACTGTGTGCCAGCTACTGTCCACAGATGCGTCATTTAACTGTCACCTCCACCTTGTAAGGCAGGAATCACTAATCCACTTGCCAAGGAGAAGCGGGAGTGCAGAGAGGCGGGGGAGTTGCTTCCAGTGCCCTAGGTGATGGGCACAGAGATTTGAGAGGAAGTATAGCCAACTCTGAAGCCCAAGACACAAGAACTTGTGGTGTCTCCTTCAGTCTTTCTTTGACTGTCTCAAAGAAAGAGAGTAAAAAAATTGCTCCATGGGGGTTCTATAAAACAGAGCTGGAATGAAAGGGTGAAAGTTACAGGGGTGGGGACACAGACTGTGGCTCTATTGAAGGAGAGGTAGCACTGCTCCCGACTCCCATCCCAGAGGAGGGAGCTGAGACTCCACAATGCTGACAGCTGCTTCTCTCTTTATCAAGCTCCTGGTCCTTCTCAAATACAATGCATTGCATGTGTTCCGATCCTTTTGGGCATGACAACCAGGCCTCCCAGCCAGGCTGAGGCTCCTAAGGACAGCCTGAAGCCCAGGCATCGGACCCTGTCAGCTCTAGAGGCGTGTGCTCCATTCGTGTGCCTGCCTCTTTGTCTCCAACTGACAGGAGCTACAGGAAAATTCCTCGAGCCCCCTCCCCCCATCCCACAGAGTCAGCAGGCATCCTTGGGCCCAGCTGCCTGCTGTCATGGCAACACGCTCCACTATAGCTTTCTAGCCCTGGGACCAGAGAGTCCAAGCAAGAGGGAGGGTTGCCTAGGCTCCAGGTCTTCACCTACTGCTTGGCCACTTCACCTGGCTGAGGCCACTTACCTCTACCTTCTGCATTTGAAGGCTGCCCTAACCTCTCCCCAACACAAAGGACAGGTTGTCAGCCTGCTCATCTGCCTTCACCCCAGGCCTTGAAGAGAGTGCAGGATGGTGCTGGGAAACCAGGGCTGAAGACCTGCCTCAGCCAATTCCTTGCTTTGTGACCTTGGGCAAATAACTGCCTCTCTCTGGGCCTTGGTCACCCATTGTTAAAGACAAGAGATGGCCAGAATCAGGGGTGGGCCTAACTTTCTGCTGACACGTTAACGCCTATCATTTGGAAGTGGCTTGGAGTGCTGTGTGGGCAAGTATTCTAAGCTGAGTCAAGGGTCACTGATCACTGAAGCCTTCACCAGCCCTAGCAGGAGGGTGGCTGTTTTCAGGCCATCAGTTTGCCCCCTTATCCTAGATAACTCTGCAGGTCCTTCCTTGTGCTACATCCTGAAGACATCTGTGTTCCCTCTGCTAACCTGCTGTGTGACTCTAGACAGTCCAGGCCTGAAGTTCATCCTCTACAAAACAATGCCCTGCCTTCCCTCAAGGTCTTCAAAGAGGAGCAAATGAACTCTTGCATCTGAATGCACTTCCCAAAGGAGGGAGCCGCTTAGCTGAGGCCCTCATGGCCTGGAGCGCCTGCCCACCCTCCACCGTGGTCCCAGCCACAGCAGCCACTCACTCCGGATCTGCTTCTTGATTTCCTTGGACGGGTCCAGCCAGTTCTGCAAGAGAAGACAGAGTTCTTTAGAGGAGAGGTGGAAAAGAGGACCCAGATGGGGCTAAGACAAACATTCGGAAGTGGCCCCACTGACAACCCATGGTGGGAACACCCTTCCCTGGCTGAAGTTTTGGGCCCTTTTCTCTGGGACTGAGAAGGGAGGAAACAAGGCCTAGACTCACCACCGGGCTTGGGACCCAGGGCCCTGGGGCTGGCATCGCCTTGAGAGAGCACAGAGAACAGGTGGCACGGCTGTGGTGGGACTGGTGGGAAGGAGGAAACTCAGACAGGAGCCTCCCGCGGGTGGGGGGAAGTGCCTCAGTTTCCCCAGGAAGCCATATCATGGCTCTCCAGATAGCTATCTGGAGGCGACTTGCAGGTCTCCAAGAAAGGACTGGGGGGTGGTGTGGAGACAGAGAACTGAGGACAAATAGGAATGGCTAAACCTTGGGGATGCACAAACCGAAGGCACCTAATGAACATCTGTGCACTGATGGAGGCTATGGGACGCCACCGAGACTACGTGGGCCTATGGTTAGAGGTCTCCCCAACAGCAGGCCTCCCCTGCCAGCCATGCTCCCCAGCCCAGGTACCTTCTGGCTGTCAGCGTCACAGAAGGTCAGGCCAAAGTAGTCCTTCTCCAGGAGGTTGAGGTGCTCACAGACCAGGTCAAACAGCACCTGGCCCCGGCCATGTTTCTGAGGAGGAGAGCGAAGCTGCTGTGAGGCCAGAACATCCCTCAGGATAGGGTGAAAAGACACCCCCAGCTCCACCACAACAACTTAAAATGCCCCCAAGAGCCTTCCAGCATCTGGATGACAGCACTCCTGCCTGACCCTAATGCCCAGGGCATCAACTGCCTTCTTCTAAGTCCTGTTGGGGTCTTCCTAGACCTCAGACCTACTGTGGGTAGGGGCAGGGAGTTGGAGTGGGTATGTGTGGGGCAGTTAACTTCTCCTTCCTTTACAACAATTACGAGGAGGCTAACTTGGACCCAAGGAGCAGAGAACAAAAAGTCTAAGCTTTGGGTACGAGAAGGACAGAAGAGCCTCCTGAAATGCCACATGGTCCCAGGACTCAGGGTCATAGTGTGACTGCCCTTTCCCGGCCCTTCCCTTATACTCAGTCTAAGTGAAATCCAGCCCAGCCCAGCCTAGTATCCCCCCAAACTGGGAAGCAAGTGAGGTTTCACAGGGGCTCGTGGGGCCTAAATTAGCCTCAGCTGGAAGCAGCACTGTTTGAGCCACCTTTTCCTCCTACTCCCACACAGCCAGGCTTGGTACCTCCCTGAATATCAACCGGGCCTGAGGGTTCAGAAGGACAAAGCCCAGAACCTGGCTGGACACCCCACAGGGGTGAAGAAGAGCACCAATAAAGGGATCACAGGACAGGAGCAGTGTGAAGCAGCCACTGCTCAAAAAGGCAGAGGTCTCCAGAGAGGGTGAAGTCCCTTCGAGGTCCGACTAGGTCACAGAGGCCAGGGCCAGGTCTGACTGTGCAGAGTGGCTCTGGGAAGCCAGGAGATCCCTGAGCCTGGAGGAGCCCTTCAGAGAGAGTGGGCCTGGCCTCAGACACACCCTCTACTCTCTTCCATGACAGGCTGAAACTGCATCTTGGGGCCAGTGTAGGTAGTAGACAAGAGATAGAAGATTCCCCTTCCTTTTGCCCAGAAGCAGGCAAAGGTGTTCATCCTGAAACCTTCTTATAGAAGAAATAAACATTCAAAAAAAATGAACTACTGCAAAGTGGGACTTAGCCTTCCAGGTCTCAGAAGTAAGACATGTCCCTTAAGACCAGGGTGAGGGAGAGAAAGGTAGGTGGCTTCTGTAACTCTCAGCAGTAAAGTCACCTTCTAGACTCTTTCGTATACACAGAGAGGGCCAGAAATGGTGTCTAGACTGGGAGAGGACCTCTAAGGGGGCAAGTGAGAGTTCAGAATTAGGCTGGGAGTCTGAACCCACATAGGAAAAAGATGCTAAATGCGGGTCCAGAAGGAATGACCCCAGAGAGGGGGCACCTGCCCTGCCACCCACGGTGGGACGGGACCACGCCACAGGGTTTATACGTGGCCTGGGTGAGTGTGTCCTTCCAATGGGCTGCCTCCCTATGTCTGGGGGACAGCCTTACCATGAAAAACTCAAGTAGGTCTACGGCCATGCCACCCTAAATACGCCCGATCCCGTCTAATCTCGGAAGCTAAGCAGGGGCGGGCCTGGTTAGTACTTGGATGGGAGACCACCTAGGAATACCAGGTGCTGTAGACGTTAAAAAAAAACCTCAAGTGGTCGGTTTATCCTGAATACTAGAGGTGGTGTGCCCTGGACGGGGAGGTCCACAAGGTAAGACCCCTCTCTCCACCCATAAATACATAAAAATGATTCTAGTTGAAACACTGGTATCTGCTGGGTGAGACTGAAGAGTCCAGTTCCTAGGCCTACAAGGCTACAGATCAGCCTTCGATGGTGGCTCCTTGCCAAGGTACAGCTACCCTGAGAAACCTTTTCCTGGCGCCAGCCTGGTGCCTTGTCTAATTCTATTTGCAATCATAACAGCCCTCTCCGGGCCTCGGTGCCACCATCTGTACAAAGGAGAGCTTGTCAGGTCATCTCTCTGGGACGCTGCAGTCAGTCCAGGACTCCATGAAGAATGGATGCCCTCTGGCTTGGCCCAGGCTGAGTGCACACAGAAGACGGCTGGCTTTGAGGCCAGCTGGCTAGGGATGGGAAACATGGTGGTGGGTGCTCCCTACCTCCACTTCACACTCATACTCAGAGGCATCGAGCAGAGTGACTCGGCAGATGGCACTCTTGTATTTCTTGGCAATCTTCTGGGGCGATTTCTGGGCCTTGCTGGGTGTGGTCCTCTCTGACAGGCCATCGGCCTCCCCGTAGTCCTTCTCCTCCATGTCTAGGCTCTGTAGGTCCAACCAGGGGAACAATTTGGTCAGCAGACTTGAAACCATACTCTTTCATCCAAACGAGATGCAATAAGGAGGCAGCCGAGGCTAAGATGGCCCCCAAAATGAGAATCGCTGCCCTCCAAGGCCCATGGGGTGATCAGGGTCTATGGTGTGTGCAGGAGGAGAGCCAGAGCTTCTGTGTGCAGTGGGGTGGCTTCTGCTGCTGTGGACAGCTTCTGCAGGTGGGAGAATCCCACAAAACCAAACCCGGTGGCCAGAGCTGTCTGTCTACCTAGAATAGTGCTTAGGTTATCAGGACATCCATCTGGTTCCTCCTTCTTGGCCTATAACTGGGTCTAGCATGAGGCTGGGGACTTGTGGACTGATCTCACAGAGGGAAGGGAGGTCAGAGCCCTGCCATCTAGTCCTAACTCTACCACTGACACACTCAATGACCTTGGCCAAGTCCCTGCTCTCTCTGAGCCTATCGTAGTTAAGGGAAGTGTGAATTCGATGGATAAGTGATTCCTCGAGTCCCTTGTAGCTTTAGTGTGATGAATTTTGTGCTGGGGTCACACTGGGCTTACCAAGCTAGAATGGATAGGTTCAGAGGGAAGGAAAATAAGGTTGAAAGAACATGGGTTTTCCAACAGATTTAGATTCATCTTTCACCTCTGTCACTTTATAACAATGTGACTTTGGATAACTCATTCCATTCTGCTGAGTCTCAGTTTCCCCAAATGTAAAGTGGGGAAATGAATAGCTACTCTCTTAGGTTTAGGAGAATTAACTATAAAAATGAACACAATGCCCCTGGCACAATGCTTGGCATGTAACGGGCCAGTAAGAAATGTTCACTTCCTCCTCTACTCCCTCCTAAGAACTGGCCCAGGAGGACCGGCTGGGGAGGGGGCGGGAGGCCCATGC